AAGGAACAGCATAAAGAATAAAATTATTAACTTCCTCTACAATAACACATTTTACAATATTGATGAGTTCCTCAATTCTTGAACTACGAAATGAAGGCATTATAATCTGTTAACCAAGTCATTTTCTAAATTTTAAATTGTATGTTTCTTTTAATAATATAAGTAATCTTATGTATATAATTAAGTGTTTACTATTTTTTAAGCTAATTGTTTTGAAAAATTTTAATATTGTTTAAAGTTGACTAGCCTCACATACTTTGATTTTCTTTTACTATACGGAGAATGGTCGCACTGCGCAGCTTTCTTAGTGCCTTTTAAAAGGAGATAGAAAACTCCGCCATTTTAAACCCTTATTACGTGTTGCCTACATCTTGGCGCAATATTTTTAATAGGTGCGTTTCACAGATTTGGATAGAGGAGATAGGAAAAGGCCGTTTTCCCCGGTGTTTTAAAATAATCACACCATGTAGGCCGCCATGATGGCAATTTAAGCGTACAACGCACATGCGCAGTTGTTGTAGTGTTTTGACAGAAGTGTCATTTATGTCAACTATTCTTGGATTCTTTGGAAATTCGCTATTTTAGTGAATTTAAAAGAATTTTAGAAGTTTTTACTATAGACAATTAATAAAATGGGAAAGACTTGCTTTGTTTTTGGTTGTTTAAACAACGAGGATTCAGAAAACATTACATTCCACAAGTAAGACATCATTTCTACCAGAACCGTATTCTTCACCACAGTTTTATTTTCTAGAAAACGAAATATCATAGTACAATAATAACAAACTGTAACTCTAACGTTGATATTACTATAATTTTTTTAGATTGAGGAAAAGGCGTATGCTTCTTGGTTGATAGCTATTGGAAAATATAAGTGCAACTAACGCTATTTGTTCCTCCCATTGTAATAAAGATGATTTAATCGTTTCAAAACGAATAGATACAATAAAAAAATAATGCAATACCTTCCATAAATATGCCTAAAATTGAAGATTTTTATAACATTAGTGTTATGAGGTAAATATATACATACAATTATCAATTTGTTTCTTTTTATACTTTTTAAGAAAGTGATAAAAAATTGTTAATTATCCCTATTATTTTTAGAAATTTACAACCTTCAGCTTGAACGAATATTATTAATTCAGAATCTAACGAGGAATTATAGATGTTGCCAGTTGGTTATTTTTTATTAACGGTTTAGATGGTAATGAAAGAAGAAATGTGGCGTTATAGGCTCTTCTAAAATTGCATGAATATGGAGTTATCATCACCTAATTATCATTTGATGGATAACATTTGGTGTAAACCTATACAACTTTGATATTGACACTGCGACTCCATATTTCTTGCATTCACCATAGATAAAAGTACATTTTTTTATAATTTTAGATGCATGTCACATACTTAAGTTGGCTTGGAATAACTGGGATAACCTTACTAAAATTGTCGAAACTAATGGCGAAATTATTGATTTTAATTATATAAAATTGTTGCATTATATTTAACAAACAGAAGGTTTACGTTTGGGTAGCAAATTAAGAGTGCCCCATATAGATTGGAGAAAGACATGAAGGTTTGTACACTTAACGAATTTAGAAATTACAAATACTAAGTAACATTACTATTAATTGTATAAGGAAATTTGAGAAACTGTTCTATTTACTAAATTCTCGAAATCTTTTCAGATTTGAATGGAAAATGCCTTTGTCTCAAAAAACGAAGACTATATGGATGTCTGAAATATAAGCTGCAACAGAATGTATAAAGAAACTTAAAACCTTTGACAGCAGTTATGTTATTCAGTGACCGAAGAAGAATAGTGGTGTTCTAGACTTTGTTTTATAAAGTTTGTAATAGGTTTATATGACAAATATGTAAACTGTTAATATATAAACTTAGTACAGATCACTTAGAGCTATTTTTCTGCAGTATATGGAATAGTATTAGTTTAATTGTATGATGCAATTACATTTTATTTCTAGGGCTAGGTATGGATAGAACAATAATCCTTTATCTGTAAAAATAGTCCATTCATATAGACTACGATTACTTCTGTACCATGACATTAAGAATCTTAATGGCTATTGTACTCTTTAGGACCCCATCAACATTTTACAAATGACACTAAAAAGTACAACAACAGTGCTTATAGTTTATTACTACTCTTACTAAATATAACTGAGAGAAACTTCAGAAGATTCAAAATTCTTGTATAAGATGTACTTGTAATATTCCTTATAGAAATCATGTTTCTCCGTACATTCGCAGGTTAAATAAATATAAAATTTAGGAAAGCGTAAAATATCTTTTTTTAATGTTTAAAATTCCACGATATCTTACTAAAAAGATCAACTTTACACAATGTAAACTTAAGAGTGAACACTTTTACAACCCCAATGCATAGAACTTCAAAATTCCAAGGTTGTTTTAGATACGTAGCACCATTATTGTTAAATTCAGAACTTAATAATTTGAATTTTAATCATTTTGTTAAGACTATTAGGCAAGTTCTTATTTCAAGACAATGATTTAATTTAAAATAATTATTTTGTGAACATTTTTTCTGTTATAATGAGGACCAATTGAGACACTAATGCATTTATAGTTGCTCAATAAACATTATTTATTTATTTAAATATAGTCAAAAAATGTACGGTATCTTAAGCCGACGCATCAGGCGGAATAAAGATGAGACGCTTAATTGTATTTGGATGTGAGAGCGATAAAGATAGTAATTGATTTTACCATACCCTTTCGATGGCAAGCATGGGCTGTTGCGGTCCACACTCATTCGTATTATTTTATTTCTCTCTATTCAATGGCATTGTGTTCCATACCTTTTTCCTGGAGCCAGGATGGAAAAGTTAAATTATTGTATTGTATTATACAGAATGTAATTAAGTTGTTAGATATTTCAGAAAATATTGTTTATATTGCAAAAAAAAAGATAAAATATTCTGCTGGCCAAGATACACTTTCTAGCGCAACAGCTAATAAAAATGATTGAAAATTATTTTTTAGGACAAAATAGGGTAATATAAAACAGTTTCGGCTGTAAGTACTAGTGTAAAACTGTCGAATTATCTTAAAAAAAAAGTATTTTTAATCACATAATCAATTACCTGCTAAAAAATGTTCATTTTCAATTAGTTTAAAATAAAAACTTGTTTCGAGAAATCAATAATTATAATTATCTAAAGAGTATCTACCCTTATAGGAAAATCACATATCAAGATTAATAAAAACATTAAAGACATTGTTCAAACCCCAATGAAAATTTAAAAAACTCTTTGTATTTTTTGTTCCTCATTAACTTTTATTAAATAGCTTTTTTTTATTTATAATTTATTAGTGCCATTTTCTAATGTAATATAAATGTTTTATGTTTAATAACCCAATATTAACATATAGTTACTGTAGTATTTATTACACAAGATAAAAAAGTAAAACCCTTCGCACTTGGCAAAATCGAAGCTTTGTTACTACTTATTCTCTCACAACCTCCGACTATGTAAGCGGGTGAATTTACCGCCTTTTCAGATTCCTTTAGTGACCGAAATCGAGAATGTCTATTTCTTGCTGATGAGTCCTAATAAGGACAAAACCGGTCCAAGAATAACGTTATCTATGGTAAGCAAGAACAAAGTTTGAATATTGAAATATGAATGTTTTAACTTTGTTGTTTTCTTTGGATATAATTCAATGTCTGCTGCGGAATTAGCCAAAGAAGTAGTTGTTTTTTGAAGGAAAACGTTAAAGTTTGGATTTATTTCCCCTTTTTAATCAAATGTTTGACTACATGCTTCTTTTAATACCTAGTTTTAAATTTACTCTATTCATTAGTAGGAATATGCCCATAATCTCTTATTTATTTTGATTGATGATTCTTAATGTATGCTCAAGTGCATGTCATAGTATTGTGGAACGATATTACAAATATTTTTGAATTCCTTAGTTTTGTAGTTTTTATATAAAATGAAATACTTTAAAGATCTGAGCAATCCCATGTAATAATTACATACAAAATTACAGTTTTTAATATGAAAGTTTTGTTTAAATCACGTGATTCCAGATTTATTTGCTACAAAATGTATGACGGCCTTAGATTGTTGTATTAATTTCATATAAAATTGTATTTTAAATATATTCTATGTTTTTATTTAATTTAAAATAAAGTTTCAAAAAAGACTATGATGTTTTTTATTTTTAGAAATCTCTTAAAATCCACAAAAAAAGAAAATTAAAATTCTATAACGAGTGTTTAAGGTTATTAGTTCTACTGTGTAAGTAAATCCTTAATATTTTCGAATTATGTTTAAATGTATTAGTCCTATCCTGTACACTTCAATATTCAATCAATGCGCAAGTGCGTAGGTCGCTTTTTTTGTAAAGATGGCCGCCTTCAATTCTACGTGCCTGATGAAAATAAGATTTCCTATCTCCTTTATCGATGTCTGTGGTGCGTTTTAATCATCCGCTTCCGACAATTCCGGAAGCAAAAGCGGTTGATTAAAACGCACCTGATATTTTGCTTGCTGCTGTCAGTGTCAGTGAATATTATTTTTGAAGTCACAGTTTATTGCTAAAGAATCAGTTAGCTCACTCGGACCAGTTGAAAGTTCCAAAATAACATCCACTCCAGGGATACAAATTCAGGATACGCAGAAGACTGCTGTTTTATTATAAGCGGTTGTCATATATTGTATTATCCGAGTTGCACAGTGTATAAACTGAAACATTGAGATCCAAAGTGCCGACGCAGAGTGAGCGATCTGATTCTTTAGCTGTAAACTGTGTCACGGGGTTTAAAATGGCCACGCCCTATGTTGGGCGTATCGGACCTCTCTCTTGCCTCGTATAGTAATCAAAGTATGTGACTAGCCTGATAAGTGGTTTGATTTGATTTGAATGAAAAGCTTTACGACTTTTCCATGAAGGTACAATATGTACGAGCCTTAAAAAGTTAGTTATCTTTATATTTTCCAAGTTGATACTATGTTTAATACCGTCTCTAAATAAACAGCCTACTCGGCAGACATTGACAGATGTTTTAATAATTTGATGTTTATTATATAGCTTGTGAAAAGTAAAATAAATTAAAAACCAATGGCATTGGCAATGATTTTAAGAAACACTTCCAGATCATTAGGTAAACCTATTATTACCATTATTCTAATCCAACCATCCCAAAAAAGAAGTCAAATAATTGCTAGGAATGTACACTTTTTAAGAAAACTTTTACTTATAAATTCAATGATGTGGTTATTTTTTAGTTATTAGCAAAATGTATAAACCTGCAGTCATAATCCAAACGAAAAGATGGTTGAATCCATTGTGGAAAGAAAATAAGAAACCCCTACTTTCAAAGCCAAAAATTGACCAGATTTTAAAAAAAGACATGAGCGAGGATCACAGTAAAATGTGGTTTATAGAAAAAGTGGTATCAATTAGTTTAATAGGACTAATTCCATATATGTTCCTTAATCCTGGGGTAAAATTGGTTGATGATGGTGTTTGCCTCCTGATAGTTACACACATGTTTTGGTAATCATAGTTTTAGTTGTTTAATTTTGGGATTCGTTACGCTTTAAGTACGTCGGAATTTGGAAAAACAAATTTAAACACTAAAAAGTACCCATTTTATATAATAAATTAATTAAAAAAAAATTGCGGATAATCCACTATTTTCTAAGAAAAATTGAATTAAAGTTACAAAATTTTGATGTTTCTAACCTAAGAATTTGCGACTTTCATAGCAGGGTTGCCAAGATATTCAGTTAGTAACAAGACCTCGTCTTTTTATTTTAAGCTATACCACTACAAAATGAGTATATATTGGGAAGATGTCCTTCTGTTAAAAACCCAATTTTTTTCAAATAAATTACATTTTAGACTTTGAGAAGGAGTACTTTTTAAATAAACCACCGGAAATCCCATAAATCAACTTTTTTTATATTAAGGCCTTGTGATGATCATTTATGTAAACGTTTTCTTCAAAGAAATGTCTTTGGTTTTCTTATAATTATATATGCTGTCACTACAAATGTGCGTTGTTGCCAAGTGGCAAAATTAATATCAATCAAAAAGAAATATACAAAAGTACCTCAGTTTTGGCACATTTCCAAACACTTTAAAAAGAACTACTTCTCTTAATTTATTTCATTGTTCTTTTTTAAACTTCTAATTTCCAGTCACATCCTACGATTTATTTATCCATTTTGATTGAATCGTTGTAATATATTATAATAATTAAATTTTAATATTACAAAATCTATAAAGTATTAAACAATGTACTTTTTAAAAACTTTTGAACTTACTTTGTGTTACTCAAAAGTTTATAAACTTTTTTGAAGCAAGGAAATTTATTTGTTTGAAAAATAACGCCAGCCAGCCTAAACCAACGACTACTATTAACTAAAGAGGATAGCCGAATTAGTTCAATTGCTGCTGGGTTAGCCGTAACGTCATTCAATGGGTACTTACAGCTGCATCCCATTTAAAACGTACCTCTAAATTCGAACTTATACTTAAAGCATATAGACACAATTAAACACCTCTAATCTTTTTTTTTTATATATACGACGTTCAACTTTTACTATTTTTAAAATAAAAAGTACTTTAGATATTCAAAGATCATTTAACCCAGAGAGATAATGAAACATATCTGAAAATTATAGGAGTAAATAAAAGGTAAGTAGTAGTTAATATATTTAAATACTATCGCCATATTATCTAAACACATTTTCTAAATAACAAATATTTAAGAAATTTGAAATGTTAAAGTATAAATTTAAATTTACATACAGAGTGTAAAAAAAGTAACGTGACTTACTAATCTTTATCCTGATAGATTTATAAAAAAGCTTTAAATCAAAGTTTGGTGAAATAAATCAAGTTAATAAGAGAGCTACTGTGCTGACCAAAATTAGGCAACCAAATATCGAAATTCAAAAAATTCAAAAGTAGCCTGACACACCTATGCCTTAAAAGCACGCTCGTTCTCCCACATCTTAACTACCTTAGAAGCGAGCGCGTTTGACCGATGTTTCGAAATTCACCTATGTCTTCTTTAGACGTATACCATTAGACCTTCTCAGATCTATTGTGGATATCCTGGAATCGTTGTTTAGAGTACCTTGTCTAATTCGGATTTTTGTAGTAGATTCCATAGACTAGGAAGTAGTTCTCAGGTGTTACTAGTTACCATTGATTTTTCTTATCCAAATGCAAGGAACGTATACAATAAGAACATGCTACGCTCGTCTCGTCCACTTCATAACCACTAGAGAAAACCGAGCGAAGCGAGCACGCCCGGTCGACGTTTCGAAATTCGTACGTCGGCCAGGCGCACCGTTTTTCCACCTAAACCATAAAGGCACGCTACACTCGTTCTACCCACCTCCTAACCACTAGATAAGAGAGCGAGCGAAGCAAACGCGCCCGCCTGAAGTTTCGAAATTCGCGCGAATTTCGAAATGTCAGCTGGGCGCGACCTTTTTCAAACTACACCATAAGAGCACGATATACTTGTCCCACTTACCTCCTCATCACTTCAGAAGAGAGCGAGCGAAGCGAGCGCGCCCGGTCGACGTTTCGAAATTCGCGCGAATTTCGAAACGTCGGCCGGGCGTGGCCTTTTTCGAACTATACTATAAGAGCACGATATATTCGTCTCACCTACCCCCTAACCACTACAGAAGAGAGCGAGCGAAGCGAGCGCGCCCGGCCGACGTTTCGAAATTCGCGCGAATTTCGAAACGTCGGCCGGGCGCGCCCTTTTTCTATCTATACTATCTACGCTCGCTCCACTAATATCCTAACTACTAGAGAAGACAGCGAGTGAAGCTAGATAGATGTGAAAAGGCTGTATTCGTTTCGTTTCCTGTAGTTCTGAGGATGCAAGTGGGACAAGCGTAGTGTGCTCTTAATGTGTAGATGTAAAATCGTAGGCCGGGCGCACTCGCTTCTCTCGCTATTTTCTGTAGTGGAAACTAAATATTGGTAAGTTACGTTACTTTTTGTAGATTCTGTATATAAATTTCGACTTATACCACATTTAAAATTTCTCAAATATTTGTTGATTAAAATATACTTTAGGTCACATGACCATTGTATTTAAATTTATTACCTACTACTTATCTATTTTTTTTTATTTATAATTTTCAGATGTGTTTAATAATCTCTCTGGGTCCAATAATCTTTTGATTATCTAAAATACTTTTTATTTTAAACATAAAAAATATTAAACATCGTAATTAAAAAGTCGGGTGTACCGATATACGTTTTAAATAGGATGCAGCTGAAAGTATCCTCCGAGTGACGTCACAGCTAACCCAGCAGAAATTCAACGAATTCGGGGATCCTTATTAGTTGATAGTAGTCGTTGAATTTGCCTGGCTGGCAAGCATTATTTGTCAAAAAAATAAATTCCCTTGTTTTAAAAAAACTGGAGAACACAAAGTAATTACGTTTAAAACTTTTTCGAAAAGTACATTGTTTATTATTTTATAGATGATCTAATATTTAATTAATATGTACTACAACAATTCAATTAAAATGGTTAAATAAATCGAGTGTGACTGGAAATTAGAATTTAAAAAAGTTTTTTAGGAAGAACAATGAAATAAATTATAGAAGTAGTGCTTATTAAGGGGTTTGGAAATATACCAAAAATAAGGTAGTTTTTAATTTCTTATTCTTTGATTTTATTTGGACAATTGGCAACACCGCGTATTTGTAATGACGAAGAATGACAAATATGCCTAATTCAAGAATAAGTTTACATAAATTTTTCTCATAAGTACCTAATATTTAAAAAATATAAAAAAAAATTAATTTATTTATTTTACGCTGGTATATTTAAAAAGTCCTCTCCTTTCTAAAGCCTACACTATAAGTTTAAAAAAAAAAATGAATTTTTAAGAAAAGGGCATCTTCCCGATATTTACCCACAATTTTTTAACAGCAACATTAGTTGGCAAAATAAAATTTCAATGTGGCAACGTTGCAAATTAGAAACTATAGGCAAGGCATAAGAAACAATCGGCAGGCTAACTTGTCTTGGCGGCAACGCTACACGCACATCTACGCGAACACCGCCATTTTGGGGTCCAACCTCTCAATAAACCCAGTGGCGTCACTGTCGTCGTTTATATCGACAAAACCAAACAAGTTGCAGCAGCTCGGAATCAGTAGCGTGTGTCTTAAATTTATTCTGTTTATAATGTGTGTATTATGTATTTATTGTTATTTTTTTTAGAATTATAGATATTTTTTGACACTTTTTATATAGTAGTTGTTTCCCAGTATTAATTTGTTAACTTTTAAGTGTTTTACTATGTCTGGGCAAAATTGTGCAGCAAAAAACTATATGAATAAACTGTTTTAAAAGATTTTTCGGTTTCTTAAAGATCCTATTAAGTAGGTATATATGGTATACTTTTAAAAAAAATCCTAGGTTATGGGTCAGTTTGTCAGTTATAAACCTATTAGTAAGATGCAGGTAGGTGCCTAGTTTACGTCACGTAAAGTTTAGCGTCAATTTATATTTACTTATATAGGTATATTATTAAGATGTAAAGTAAAATGTTATATTTTAAACATCCCCCGTATGGAGTTGACAAAATGGAAAAATCTTTATTTTTATTTTAAGGAAAAAGTCATTATAAAAAAATTCTGTACATGTTCTTAATAAATGAAGAAACTTAAAATTGACAAAAAGAAAAAATCTGTATTACCTATTGATTTTACGAAGAAAAGTCACAGTTTTCCTGTCGGTTTTCCTTCATAACTTTAAAAGGAAACTGTTTCTTGTAATTTTTTTGACAAGCAGAATTTTTTGCAAGGAATGACTTTTTCTGAAAAAAAAAAAAAAAATTAATATTAATCGTAATTGTGTTATTCCAAAATATTGAAATGCTTAACAAAATTTGATACTGATATTCATTTTGATAATAATTATTCTAGATATGCGAATAACAAAGCTTTATAATCTTGATAAATCTAAAGTATTTTCATTACAAAAAGCAAGCAAATCTTAATTAGCCATTAAAGAAATTATAAGTAGTAAATTAAAAATTAGTAATGAGTCACATACAATCAAAATCATGTGTCTAAAGCAGTGCTATTAAAAATGTAAAATTCTTATAGGTATTTTGTCGAAGTAAATTCAAAAGGCCGCCAATTTTCAAACTAAAATAGCATTACATCTTTCTATATTACCGACTGAGTATTAATTGCACAAAACTATTCCATATGTCGCTGAAGGTAAACATGTTTAAATTTATTACATTCTGGAACTGAAAACTGCGAAACAGGTGGGGATGCTTTACTTGCAAGGCTGCTTGAAATTCGTAGGACTAGTAAGGATGAGCCATTTTCCAAAATCGCGTGTAATGGTGGTAATATTGTCGAAAATGTAAATATAAACAAGCATATAAATGAACTGCATTCACAAAATATTAATATTTTTTAAGAAAATTTTATTATATATGCGGATTTTTAATAAAAAAATTTCTTAAAATTCACAATTGCAATGTATGTAGGTACACAATATGCTTTACCACACGAAGACTTGGATACAAGCTTTATGTATTGTTATTATAAAGCATACTAAAAAAGGCAAATGAAGATATTTTTGGCAATTTAAAAATGTCAAATAATAGTTTTGTATGTTTAATAACAAAAATTGAAATAATTTTTAAAAACAATTTTGAATTATTTATTACTAAATCCGGCGTTTGTAATTTTTTTTAGATTTAATTAATTCCGAAATAACATTTGACGCTCGTTTCCCCGATTTCCAGAAATATATGTTATTAAGTTATATTTAAGGCTACTCATATATTACTTTATAATAGACATTTTAAGATTATTAATAAAAACAAGCTAATTATTTGGCATATTGTCTTTCTTAATGCTGTTCTTATAAGTTAAATTAAAATATATTTTACGTAAATTTTTACTTTTTTGTTTTAATACGATCCTGCCTATCAATACCTTATTTTTAAGCGACTTCGAAAAAGGAGAAGGTTATATTACAAAATCTTTAAATACGCTTTAATCCGACCCTGACTAAGACCCCCGAATGGCGTCGCCAAGGTCAAATTTTCTTAGTTAATATTTGTATGCGACCAGCGGCAAGTGAGCCTGCCGATTGTTTCTTATGCCGTGCTATCACATACTTTGATTACTATACGGGGCAAGAGAGAGGTCCGACACGCCCAACATAGGGCGCGGCCATTTTGAACCCTATGACACAGTTTATAACTAAAGAATCAGATCGCTCACTCTGCGTCGGCACTTTTTATCTCAATGTTCCAGTTTAAACACTGCGCAACTCAGATAATACAATATATAACAACCGCCTATAATAAAATAGCAGTCTTCTGCGTATCCTGAATTTGCATCCCTGGAGTGGATGTTATTTTGGAACTTTCAACTGGTCCGAGTGAGCTAACTGATTCTTTAGCAATAAACTGTGACTCCAAAAATAATATTCACTGACACTGACAGCAGCAAGCAAAATATCAGGTGCGTTTTAATCATCCGCTTCTGCTTCCGGAATTGTCGGTTCAGTCGTTCTAACCTGTCAGATTAAAACAAGAAAACCGACAATTCCGAAGCAGAAGCGGATGATTAAAACGCACCTATTAAAAATATTGCGCCAAGATGTAGGCAAGACGTAATAAGGGTTCAAAATGGCGGAGTTTTCTATCTCCTTTTATAAGGCACTCAGAAAGCTGCGCAGTGCGACCATTCTCCGTATAGTAAAAGAAAATCAAAGTATGTGCGTGCTATAGGTTTATGACAATGTGTCAACTTCAACTAAAGGCTTTAACAAAAGATGGAAGGAAATTATAAATTACATAGTTAAAAGCAGATTAAACAGAATAAATTTAACAAATGACCTTATTTTTCATTTTCAATTGCACTTAAAATATTAGAAAAAGTAAGTTACTTTAATATACTAGTGATAAAACTTCGAAATTACCACCTTTGGGTAATAGAATAAAAACCCATTTAACCTATAAAATTGCAACTTTGAGTTCAATTTTTTCGATTAATAGCCAGTTATCCGCAATTTCTTTTTTAGAAACTCACTATTTGGAATATGTACTTTTTAGTAGTATCAAAAATTTTTCAAATTTCCGACGTACTTAAAGCGTACTGGAGACTAATTTTGTACATTTTTAAGGTGTAGGAACTATTCCTATATAAATATTTAAAGAATTAAGTCCAAAATTTTAAGTTGCAAAATAAATATGGAACAAATATCGATACCACTATTGATTAATCATTTATATTATGATTCTAGGGGGCTAGAAGCATGTGTAGCTGATTATGTTCGACCAGTGATTCTAGGAAAATTTATCCCAAAGCTTACAATGCTCTGTTTATACTTATTATGTTTTGTCGTTGCCGGAGGTTTAATAAATTATAATCATAATTACCGTGGGATCAGTTGTACTTTTTGTAAATTATGGGATTTTGAAGCTGAGGTTGATGAAGAAGACTGAATTTTATTTAGTAAATATTTTATAATTTAAAAGCTTTATACAATAAATACTAAAGTATGTAATACGTTTAGAGATTTTTTCTTTATTTATATTTAAAGTATTGTTGGTATTGGAACACGATACAGACTCACGGTATGTTCTGCATGTAGTTGACTGAAGGTGATGTCTCGCAGGACATAGAATTAACAGTATACAGCGTTTCTAAGTAAAATGGTTATTATTAATTTTACGGAAAAAATCGTCTCCTCATACAACATCATGCTTCATAAGAAAATAAATTTTCAGTCTTGAAAAATTTTATAGGTATAGATAGGTATAGATAAAACAACCCCATTTGAAATGGTAATTGTTTTGTAAGACTACTATATTAGTTTTAAGCATTTTTTCAACATATCAAAATACAGAATAAGTAAATTTTAGGTAGAAGATCGTGGGGAAGTTTCATCTCCCTTCCAATAATCATCATTAGAGCTAGGAATATATGCAAAACGCCATATTTTGCATATGTTGCATATATATACAATTTTTGATTTTGAATGCATATATTGACATTTTGTTAATTTTTTGGAATATATCTGACGTACTAATTGGCTGGACATAAGAGTTTTGGACCCAAAATAATATTTTGTGAAATGCCTTTACAGGTCGATTTCCTAAAATGTTGAAGGATTAACTTTTCCCTGTAATAAATTACGGTTAATGGTGTAGGTACTCGAGAGGATTAAATTATGGGCGGTACGAAATTCGTCTCAATTTTATTACCTAGACCGACAAACTTCTCAGGTAAAATTTAAGGGTATACGAAATTCGCCACACAGTCCTTTTAATGGCTCTTGGGCTTTGCAAATAGGCATACCTGTTTTAATCTAAGTGCCTGACCATCTGTGACATTTTACTATTAGTTTTAAACTATAAAACTATTAATATATGATATTATTAAATTATTTTTTGATATTATTTCAAAATGTTAACGTTCTAACGATTGCAGTTTATAAATGGATTAGGGATTACCTGGTATAATGTAAAATGAAATTGTTAATACAGTTTTATTAGTTAACGGATGCTTAATGGGTAATTAGAGGCCAACTGTGAACAATTTTCAAGGAACAGTAGAAGTGAATAATATTAGTAATTGGGTAATCAGGTTTTTGATTGTTATTAGATCGTCAAGGGATTAAGTAGGTGTTATTTTTATTTAGTTAGTACATTTCAGGTGTCGATGAATTATTAATAGTACATTCTATATTTATTTACTATTTGTCCTTAGTGTATGTTGTATACCTGTCGCAAAATTTAAAATGTTGTTTGTAAAAGAAATCGTAAGTGAACGTGGAAAAACTCAAATTGTACATGAAAATTATAAGTTCGCCGTACCACAAATAAAATTGTTTGGAGGTGCATTAAACGGCCAAAATGTCATGTATATGTGTACACCGTGGGAGAACCTGGCAGCTTTCTCGTAACGACGGTAAAAAGTCAACATAACCACGAGCCTGAAGAAAACGTTGCAAAACAAGTTCTAAGTGTTGCGTGCAAAAGAAAAGCAGAAGAGGATCTTACAGAAAGACCAGCAAAAATAATGCACAAGGAGTTAGCGGCAAATAATATGTCTAAAACATTAACATGCCGCGATTTGAAGTGTATTTAGTAAAATATGTACAATAGTAAGCGCAAAACATTGCTTGCTTTACCTCGATCTGCCCAGGATGTTCACAGTTATTTAAATGAACATTTGTACAAAACTTCAAGAAAAGAAAACTTTGTGCTAGAAAATAATTTTGAACAAGGTATTATAATTTTAAGTTGCCAAAGAAATTTGCAATTTTTATGTCAGTCGCAAACCGTATACATGGATGGAACATTCCAATACTGCACTAAATTTTTTACTCAATTATTCACCATACATGGTTACTTAAATGGACATTATATACCTCTCGTTTTTAATTTATTAAAAAACAAATTGGAGGAGATAAATAGGCATTGTTTTGAAAAAATTAAGCATTTATGCTCCCTTAATGGCTTATGTTTCAATCCTGAAAGAATAGTAGTTGATTTTGAAATTGCCACTAATAATGCTTTTCATAAAGTGTGGGATAACGTAACGGTTAGTGGCTGTCGATTTCATCTTACCCAGTGTTGGTGGCGCAAAATACAAAAATTAGGATTAAGTTGTGAATATAAAAACACAAATAGTGAGGTGGGAAAGTGGCTTCGTTATTGTTTCGGGTTGGTGTTCTTAAATCCAAATCGAATAAGCGATTTTTTTGTTTTTGATTTACTGGAAATTAAACCAAATGATGACAGGTTAACGGCATTTACAGATTATTTAGTAGAACATTTTATTTCTGAAGAAGCGACTTTTCCACCCCACATTTGGGCTGACGCCTCTCTGATTTAAATAAAACTACAAACGCATGTGAGTCTTTTCACTCTCACTTAAACAATTCTTTTAATTATAGTTCGCCAACAATTTTTTATTTTATGGATGTTTTATTACAATTTCAAACCGAAGTGTATATAAAATGTAATAGTATTGCTAGTTCTTATAAATCTAAGAACTCGGCTACTAGACGTCGACAAGATTTTTTAAAAAAAATGTTGTCCGAGTTAAAGTGCCAAAAAATAACTACGTTGCATTTTGTTAAAGTAGTCTCAAACGTATATGGTCATAACCCATAAATGTGTATAATTTTGTATAAAATGTATATAAACATAGTTCTTCGTAAATAAATGAATTGAAATCATTGTCGACTTGTTTTTTATTTATATTTTAAATATTCAAATACTTTTAAATTCAAATAAAAAACAAAATATATTGTAACGTTATTTTTTTAACCCTATGTATAATAAAATTAATTATTTTAACATAACATTAAAAAAAATACTCGTATAGTGTTATATTTACCTTCGGCTAGCCTTTATTTAACTCCTCTTGAGGTGAGTTTTATTTCCAGAGCACAAGATTGTTTTGAACCCAGGTGAGTTCAAGTAAGTTTTTTTTTTAAATTTCTAATCTTTTATATATTGTTAATTTTATAATTTTTTTTTATTTTACTTCACTATTTTATTTTATTTATAGTATTATTTTATTTTGTTTTTATTTTTTTATTTTACTTTTATTTTATTTTTTTTATTTAATTTTAAAGTCACTTCTATGATTGATTTCAAATTGTTGTAAAATTGAATAACTTACTATCTCTATGAATTACCACTAAGTATTAAATAAACAGATTTTTTAAAAATCAAGATATTTAAATTTATTTAACAACTTATTACCCTATCAATGAAATTATTTCATCCATTCTGTCGTCATTTATAACGCAAATTTATGTAAATCGATTTAGATTTGATTTATTTTACCTTTAAGAAATTAGAATTCCATCCCTTTTATGAAGAATAAATTATTAATTCTTTATTTCTGATTAGCATCTGACATGTGTATTATTTATCAAAATAACTAAGGTTAAATTTTAGAAATCACTAAATATAAATTCTATTTTCTTTTCTAATTATACCAAAGCAAAGATTCTACCAAATATGTACAAATTTAATATATTAAAATATGGTTGTGGAATAATTAAAATCTGATCGGATTAGTGAGATGAATTTCGTAGTGCCAAAATCGACCCTTTAAATGGTATGAGACGAATATCGTACACCTTTTCTATGTTTACCTGATAACTGAGACGAATTTCGAAACGCCCTAAATTATAAACACCTCCTTAAACCAACAAATTTTTCTAAATATCTTTTCAGGTAGTTGTATTAATATCTTCAAATTTTTAAATGACTCAGTTTACTTTCAATTTCATTTCAGTCTTTATTATTGTGTTGTGTTAACCAGTGGGAAAAATGGAAAAATTAATTGAGTCGTGAGTAAAATCTTATTCAGATTTTGTTTTAGAAGGTGATAACCAGGTGTTTTGAAAAACATGTTCTAAAATTGTAAGTACTTTTTTATTTTATATTTTATTTTGACCTTTCACAATGGTAAATCGAACGACAGTAAAATATTATTTCAACTCACATTTAAAAAAAAAGTAGGGCAACTTTACAACGTACGCATTTATTTAATTTAATTAAAACTTCAACATATCAACAGGAATTTATTTGTTTTAGATTCCATGTAAAAAAAAGTTTCAAATCGACCAACACGCGAAAACACCCTCACATATAGCAAAGCAGAAATCTAAAGACACTCGCAGACAAAGTCAACTTACCTTGAAACAATATTTAGAATCTGGATCGTCTAGAAGTGAACAAGCTATTTTTAATGAAGATTTATGCAAAGCTTTAGTGACTTGGAATATTCCTTTAATACTATTAAATAATCCAAATTTTCGAATATTTTTACAAAAATACTGTAAATTTAATATTCCAGAGCAAAGTATATTACGCAAACGTAGTGTTGACAGTTTGTACATTAAGACTCCTGAAAAAATTCGTGTGATTACCGTTGGAAACCATTTCTACATTATTGTGGATGAAACAATAGACTCTTGTGGTCGATATATAGCCCATTTAATGATATGTTCATTACGCGAAGAAATGCAAATTGGTCTATATCTAATCGCTTTAAAGCAATTAGATAAAACAAATAACTTGAGACAATAACTCGTTTTATCGAGACAGAATTGTCTTCCTTTTTTCTTCCGAAAGCCGTTCCAACAGAAAAATGTTTTTTGCTGTTGTCCGATGCTGCCCCGTACGCATATTCATATGTTACCGACACAAAGAGACAATCGGATTTCCGAACGATGCCGAACACGTAATAATAAGTTGCCGACGTAATTCTTAGTTTATGTCTGTAACTTAACGATTGGCAACGACTGCGAGCAGTGGTGTTATTAAAGTATAAAAATGTGTATTTCATTACTACCAGTGAGAAAATACTTAATTTAAAGAGACAATGAAATGAGTTTAGTGAAACAATTCTAAACAAATTAGAAGAGAATCCTGTAGTATTCCATCCAGCTATTCAATCATTTTTA